CTCACACGATATTTGTACGAATTAAAGTTTCAGGAGGATATGGCTGACAGATATGTGTTGGCCTTTGCCATCAAGTGGATTTCTCCCTGGTTGCATGGTGGCTGTTATTAGCACAGAATTCATCACAACTTTCACACTGCGAGTGCTAAAATTCATTGGTGCATAAGATTATCAGGGCCACTATTAAGACATGAGTTTGGAGAGCTCTAACTTTAGTTCAGGGAGATGTAATGAGACAATTCAGCCAGATTTCCTGCATAGGGCTTTGAATTAAGAGTTTGCTGGCAAGAGCATAGGCTGTTCCATTAGAAATGTTGAGGACTGACAGCAATCCACTGGTTTAGCCTCCATGCCTGCCCCTGGTTAACAGCAAGGCTAATTAATACTAACTAATATCAGGTGAGATTAGAATGAGCATCAGAGCTTTGTAACACCAAAGGGAGACTGAGAGAAAGCCGTCCAAGGGAAGAGACAAGGTTACCCCTAAGAACCCTGGTGCATCAGTACAGCTCAGACCTGATGTAAAACCTGGTTCTCTCCCTCCCTCAGCTCAGGCAGAGGCACAGCCTGGAAGTGACCCCGGGGCCATGCAACCACAGTCGCACCATGGCATGCAGCAACATGCCCTTCACTGCGAAGTCCTCACAGGTGATCCTGCACGTTGCTGCTCTCTTCTTCTCTACTCCTGCTGGTTCCAGCGAAGCAGATCATCTGCTTATTATTAGGTGGTTTTTATCTCCCCCCACCTTTAAGCAGGAGTGCTGTGAAGTGCTTTGGGGAGCTCAGAAACCAGCTGAACCAGCTCTTTGGTGGTGATGTAAAGACCATAATTCCCTCAGTAGTCCTGAAGTTAATGGTTTCCTGATTTCAGACAGGCATATCTTGGATGAATTCTCAGTGCGCAACGGGATGTCCCCTTGGATTCCAAAGTGCTTCCAAAGTGCTTTGGAAGTATCTTTTAATGGTTGCTTGCAACTCTTTAATCATGAAGGGCCCTTACCTACCAAGAAATACAAGGACATAGAACTTTATTTTGCATGCTCAGGAACACTCCCCACACTGTGCTATTCTTCTGTATTACTCTCTTTGTAGTCTCCGCCCTGTCTCTGCGGCTGTGGACAATCTTGTGAAGGAAGTCCAGTCAATGAGGAAAAGGTTGGAGGAACTGAATGAACGCCTCAATGTCATCAGCAAAACTGTCCTTCCTATCCGACTGAACGCTCTGCAAAGCCAGAGGCGTGGAAATACTCAGCTGCGGAGACTACCAATGCATAGGAGAAGGTTGTATGCTCGCAGGAGACCTCAGAGGAGTTAATTCTCTACCAGAAAAAAAAAAGTGAAACCTTTATTTTCTAACATCTGCTTAAGCCTTTCTCAGTGGGATGCTGCTAAAGAGAATAAAGGACATACAAGCCAGCTTTACTTAGGAGACCAGAACTTCTGCGTTTTGTTGCTGCCTTTCAAACCTAAGTCAGTGAGTGAAATCTGACCCTGTTCTTCAATGATGGCTGTTTTGTGTCCCAAGCAAACTGAGTTGACCAGCTCAGTCTACTTGAGCGTGAATACCCTAAGGCTATCCAGTCATTCTTTCTGCTCACCAGAGAAAGCTCTTTGTATAAAGATCAGGTGAATTTTCTCCCTCTGTCCTATTTTTACAGCACTCCATCTGAAACAGCTAGGGAATTTGGTCTCCAAAACTGATGAATGCCTGATGAATGCAGAAAGATTGATTAGTGCTTGGCACTTCAGCTGGGCAGGGAGGAGGAGAGGAACCTATGTTCTAAAATACAGCCTTAACCTTTTCTCCATCAATGCAAAGAATGCCCTGTTCACATGTTCAGAGGGTGGGTTGGGTTGGATTACCTTATCTATGCTCCATGTTTCAAGACTGAAGATGTGTCAGACTCTAGGGACCAAATCTGAACATCCACCTTCTGCGAAGAGATTTTTTTTTAGCAACCTGGAACTGGGTACTCAGAACCTTGCTATTCAGCAGGTATGTTCACAATTTCCAGCACTCTGAAAGAAATCATACTGACTTCTGCCAAGACCCCTGTAAAACAGGGTATGTATTTTCAAAACTATTTATATGCCTTATGCCAGAGCTAGGTGTCTAGAAGGATTTTCCGTAATAGCTTAAAACACAGTTCAGTCCCAAAAATCACAGAAAATAATTCAGTTAGTGTCTAATTGCAGAGTATCTTCTCTACATGGAAGCACTGGCCTCCAGGCATTTACCAACATCCTTTAGCTCAATTAAGGTCTGTACAAAAAGAGCAACTATGCCCCCCAAGGGCTTTGGTGCTTCAGGGAGTACCCAGAATACCCAGATTATTTTTGCCTGTGGGTTCCTGACAATAAAACTGGGGATAAAAACAGTGCAGAAATCAAATTATGCACTAAACAGGGAATAGAGTGGGTTTGCCCGTCAGGCCTCTAATGTTAAATCCAATACAGAGATTCCTATCTAGTGTTGCAGCCAATTACATACCTGAAATCTGTTGAAACATATGGACAGAGGGGAAAATAAACTAATTTTTTAAAGGTCTGGATGAAGCAATCTTTGAGAACAGAAATAAAGAATGATTATGTGTAAACAGTGTGGGGGAGGCTGGCATGATAGTTGTTTTGCAAACACTCTCCAGTCTTAAATAGTGAGGCTGCAGACATTTAAGGATTTCCAAGGCTTGAGTTTCTGGAAAGAAGTCCAGTGATGCTAAAAACAACCTCCACAGGGAAAGGAGAAAAACTAGTTTCACACGAAAGCTTTCAGATTTAACCAGAAGTAATACAATCAGCATTTTGGCTGCAACCTGGGAGTCAAGTGAGGGAGATATAAAGAGCATGTGAGAAAATCTGATAAATATTTCCCAGAGTAAATTCGCTGAGTTCAAGTTTTCATAAAATAACAAAACTCAAGCTTGAGAGGACTCTCCTTGGCTTTTGCTTGGGAATCTGAAACACTGCTTAGCTAGACAAGGGAGAATTCAAGCCGGCGAAAAGGCTGATAAAAAGATACAGTTGTGTCTTTGGTGAGGTTGTCATTATAAATTCTCAGGAAATGTAGAGTATTTTTATCCCAGAATATAATTACCTAAATTACAGGAGTAACAGGAGAGAGAGGCCCCTTTTTCCTTGTTATTCTGCATTCAGAGCTACTACACTGTGCTGTAGCATCAGCTGCATGCTTGTACAGACTGCTGGTCTCTTCAGGGGTTGCTTTACATACTTGGGGCTGTAGAGTCTGCTGGTCACTTTGGACTATCTGGAGAAAGAATACACCATAAATGTCGGCTTTCATGCTCATATGTTAGACATGACCATTTTATCAGGAAACCTGCAGTTGTATAAAATCAATTGAGGACTACTTGAAACAGAAAGATGAGATTTCCCTCAGTCACAGATGGCTGGAAGTGGGAGGACAGACCAGATCACTGCATGCTTGTACGTCTAAATGTCCACCACCAGCTTCTGCCACAGATAGAGAACTGGGCAAGCTGGGCTTCCAGTCTACCCAGTCCATGTATTCCTACACTGGTATGTACAAGTTGGTATTTTTGGCAACACTCCTCAGCAAAATGGAGAAACTTACCATTTGTTTTAAAGGGAAACAAATAAGCTCCAGCATGCAATGTATACTAAAATTTTGCAATTTCTTGCATGATGCTGAATAAACCAAATAATAAATGGTTAATAAATTACTAGATCTTTGGCCTTGTCACCACTGATAGCAGCCCATCGTTCACTCTGCGAAAATCCATGCAAGGCTCCAGCCCTGCTCCCCTACCTCAACATGGCCTGTTTGATCAGATGAGCATGGCCAGTTGCTTTAATTTCCTTGCTTTTGCATGACTCTCTCTCTAGATTAAAATGCTTTAATGTCACATTCCTTTTATATTTTTTTTTTCTGCTCTTTAAGAGTAGCCTGCTTTTATGACACTCACCTTCTGTCTGTAGAGGCAGGAGTCCAGCTGAAAAAGCACCTGTATACCTCTGCCACATCTGCACCTCTCCCCACACCTCCTGCGGAGGCAGGCCCATGACAGTGGTTCGGTACTGGACCAGGTTGCCCAAGGAAGCTGTGGCTGCTCCATCCCTGGCAGTATTCAAGGCCAGGCTGGACAGGGCTTGGAGCAATCTAGTCTAGTGGAAGGTGCCCCTGCCCGTGGATGAGCTGTAAGGTCCCTTCCAACCCAAACTATTCTGTGATTCTATGATTCTATGACCCATGTCTGCCTAAGGGATTGATATACTGCCTTCACTACCCTCGTCTTAAATGATCCTGGGCAAGGCATTTTCTCTAGCTGGCACTTGTCCTTTGACATGGCTTATACAACTAAAACTTGCTTGTGATCATTAAGGATCTAAGACCTCCATGCACATAAATATTGCCAGATCTATAAGCCATCTAAGCCCCCTGTTGGGTTTCTTTCCATATACTTCTGGAAAGGCACCCAGCTAGAGTTGTCAACAGAGCTGACTGGTTGGGCTTGCGAACACATGCAGAGGTCAGCAAGAGGGAGAGCAAGTATCAATAGAGGCTTACAAAATCCACCCCCTTACTAAGGCTTTCAACACCCACAGACACGCACAACACTGCCTTAAATTCACCATCTTGAAAGGCAACGACTGTGATCCCTCAGTTCCCTTTATTAAACAAACAAACGCAATGATGTTGCAGTTTCAGGAGAGCTGTGCCCTTCCACGTGACACGACACAGGTCTGTCTGTACTTCTGCCCCCTTGTGCTTTATTTCCCCCAGACCTCCGCTCTCCCCAGGTGAATACCGCCTGCTCCCGCACGTTATTACTCTTCACATATCCCTCCGACCCCCATTACTTTACCCTCGGGGACGCGACCCACTCTCCCAGTCCCCCCGCCGCTGCGACGCAGGCGGTCCTCGGGCTCCCCCTGGGGGCAGTGCGCCGCGCTGCAGGCAGCGGGGAGTCCTCTAGGGCCCTCCCACCTTACCCGGGGCGAGCCGAGCAAGCCTGAGCCAAGTCGAGCCGAGCCGAGGTGAGCGGCACCATGCTGGGCATGATCAAGAACTCCCTGCTGAGCACGGTGGAGGCATGGCCCTACCAAGTGCTGAGGAAGGGGGAGAAGGTAGGTGGCAGGGCGGAGGCCGGAGTGTGCTCCCGCGGGAGGTTTCTCCACCAGCCGGACCGGATAAGACGCTGCGAAGGGGAGCGGGAATCCTCCCGGCATCACTTTCCTTCCAGCCCATCCTGGCAGCTTCTCCATCTCTGACTCTGTCCGCAGGAGCAGCTCAGCTACGAGGAGAGGGCGTGCGAGGGCGGGCGGTTTGCGGTGGTGGAGGTGGTGGGGAAGCCGTTCGATGAAGCCTCAAAGGAAGGAGTGCTCAAGCTCCTCAAGTACGTCGGAGGAACCAATGACAAGGGTGAGAGCTGCTCGCCACCCTGGGCCCTGGCCGATATTTGTAGTTGACCGCCAGTCGCAGAGGTTTGGTGAAAGCTGGATGGCTGGGTAGAGGTGACGGCACCACAGGCCTGCCTGGCTTGTGGCTCCCAGTCTGTGATAGGGATGGCCCCTTTCTGAGAGAAATAAACTTGCCACTGGTTAAAGCATGCCTAGCCAACTCATGCAGTGATTCCACTCTTAACCCGTCCCTGTTTGAGGGTAAAATCTCAAAAATAACTTATTTCAGCAGGAGTAAGCTACCTTGCAGCTGGATAATGTGAGAACAGGCACACAGTGTTACCTGTCACAGCTCCCTGGGTGAGCAGTAGCAGATGAAATCCAAAATATCTGGGGCACTTCAATTCTATGTCGTACCCTTGTAGGCAGTGAAAGAACTTTATGACCTTGATAATTTTATCATATACTCTGGCTATTTTTTTTCATGAAAGGGTAATGAACAATCGGCTTGCTTTTTAACAGTACTTCATGGTGTTTTATGATGGTGCTTCCAGGTAATTGCGTATAATTCTCAATTTACTAAAGTACATGCAACAGTAACCATCTGTAGCAGGAGGAGAAGACCACAGAGTAGTTCTGAAGCATATACATTTGCTTGCACACCTTTCTTGGGCATCTGGTAGAGGCACTTGTATAGTCTGTATGGGAGTAGGAGCTGGATGCTTCTGTAAATGCCATTTCCTCCTGCATGTTTTGAAAAGATGGTGATCATTGTTGCTGTACTAGAAGGGGTGCCTTCTATAACATGTGCTTGCAGAGACAGGTATGCTATCAAAGTGAAATAAATGAGAAAGATGGCTTGATCTCAACAGGTTCTGTAACCCCTGATCCTGAGGTTTGGGGATTCCCTACTGCTAAAAGAAGAGGGAAGAAAAATGTTCTTCAGTGCCTATATGGTGGGCCTCAGCAGTAATTAGCAGAAAAGCAGCATGCTGTTCCTGGAAGGGTGGATAGCATGGACAATTCTGCTGAAAGCCGTAACAGCTCTGTGTTGTGGGCACTGGAACTTGTAGGATGACTGGAAGCATTTAGAAGGGTTTAGGAGAAAGCTTGTGTAACACATTATTGGCTATGGGCTCCCCTGTACATGCAGATGATAGCTATTTAAATACTGATGTAGATTTACATGTATCACTGACCTACCCTGTAACTATAGACCCTGTTGTGTTAGAAGTGATTTGTCAAAAGAACAGTGTGTCTCGGTGGCATGAGCAATATGTTTGAGCGCCACAAAACCAGGACCATTAATAAAAGCCTTCCAGAGGTCACCTGGAGCTCTTATCTCCTAGGATCTTTGTGTAGTCAGTGAAGAAAGAAGTTTGTCCCAAGCAGAAGCCTAATGTGCCTGTTCTGCATGCCCCACAGGATTCCACTCTTGATTGACTATACCAAGAGTTCAGTGGGAGGAGTTTTCCTAAACTAAAATTAGCTTTTGTGAATCACCTGCTAATTCTGAGAACCTAGACTTCTTCAGTAATGTCTGTCTCTCTTTCAGGGATTGGAATGGGCATGACTGCTCCTGTCTCCATCACTGCTTTTCCTGCTGAAGATGGCTCCTTACAGCAGAAAGTGAAGGTCTCTCTGCGGGTCCCACGCCAGTTTCAAGCCAACCCACCTTGTCCTAGCGATGAGAGCATTAAGATTGAAGAGAAAGAGGAGATGACCATTTATTCCATGTAAGGAGTGCATCTTGGGATTTCCAGTCCCAAGTGCTGAGGTCTCTAGCTTGCTCTGAAGAGCAGTGTTGGTTTTACCAGGTGACTTACTGTACAAGGGGTGCATGTGGTAGAAAGAGGTGGAGGTGTCTTTCTAGACTGAAGACAAGTGTTTTATTTCTTATCATTGGTCATGTTGCTCTGATTTGCAGTGTGTGTGGGTTTTTTTCATGGGGAAAACAAGTGTAGAGGTTAGCCATGAAAGGCTTTTTGTTTTACCTGGGGAGATGAAGAGCAGGGGAGGGTGAATATGAAAGTACTGAGTTATTTCTAATCTCTGAAAACTATTGTTTCCCCCACTTTCTGGGATCCAGATGTTTCTTAGTCATCAAGAATGTCCTTTGGTGTGATTCGCATCAAACTAAGGGTGCCAGCTGAAGCCTCATTTAGATGGACTGATTCCAGAGTCCATCATGGAAACAAGCAGTCATTGCATTGCTTCAAATCACCTTTGAATGTCTTCTTCAGCTGTTGACTGACAACCTGCACTCAAACTAGCATCACAATAGCAATAAGCTCATCACCTTGTATTGAACCCCTTGGATGTTCCCCTGCCTCCTGGCTTGAACTGTCAAGCTGAGTGACACTTTGGCTGAGTGTCAACTGTCTGATTCCTTCCTTGCCTGTGACTGCTGCCTGGCCTTTGCTGCCGGTGTGGGCCACTTCTGCAAGAACAGGGTGTTTTGTCGCAAAACTTCACTCTGAGGCAGGGCACTGAGGTGCAGACTGATGTGGAAATAGTTCCTGTTGGTGGGAGGTCAACATAAACCAGATCAATTCCAGCCCACCCCTTCTAAATAACATCGTAGGCTGTAATTTCTAACATATCTCTTCCTACCTCCTCTTTTCCTTGGACTAGTTAGAGTTTGTCTTCCTTTTGTGATCTGTCTTCCAGCAGATGGTTTTCATACCACAGTGAGCACAGTTGTTGACAGCATTGGTGTATTGACTGGGGGTTGAGCAGACTTGGAGATAACCTTGTGTTCTAGGAAGCTGTTCCTCTGATATGGCATTGGTTCAAAGGGCAGGGCCATTCTGCTGACTGATACACGTGGGTGTGTTTGGAGTCTGCCAGTGGGTGACTACACTCTGGCTGTGTAACCCTTGAGACATAGTCTATTACAGAGTGTTCTGGCTCACAAAAAAAAGCACCTGTGGGAGTGCATGGCAGCAGGACCTGGACCAAAAAGTGTGGCTAAATATATTGTGGCTATATACTGTTCTCTCTCTTTTCCTTTCTGTTCTTTGCCAAGACTGCTCATCACGTCTCTGTGTTTGGTTTCTTTGCAGACAATTTGGTGGCTATGCCAAAGAGACGGATTATGTGAACTATGCTGCCAAGCTGAAGTCTGCTCTGGGGAGTGAAGCTGCATACCACCAGGATTTCTACTTCTGCAATGGCTACGACCCCCCTATGAAGCCTTATGGGCGACGCAATGAGGTCTGGTTTGTGAAAGAGTGAGCATCTGGCTCCCCATGGTGCTGACTTACACCCCTAATCTCCCATACCATGTTCCTGTCCTCTTCAAAATAAACCACTAATTTGGCAGAGGCAGAGAACCATCATTCCTTTCCTCCACACCTATGCCTTAGTCTTTCATGAACCAACCATTTTAGAACATTACAGATCCCCAGATGGTCCTGCTCCTTTGTTCCAGATCAGGTCCTCACCCACACAGACTCTCATGATCTCTCTGTGGCTTGCTTTTCTGTACCTCATGCTTCCAGAGTTTAATGCTGAGACAGACAGAAGTATTTAATTAGCAAGACTGGTACCTTACATGAGTTGTGTCCAAGTGCTATGAGTCTCACCTGAGACAGGCAGGAGAGCATGACAAAAGTGCACACAGGGACTTTTTTTATCTTGTTGAACTTGCTGCAGCTGTAAAATGCTGCTTTTATCTGTGCCATTCCAAAAGCAGTCTAAAGGGACATGGGCATTGCTACCAACACAGCACAGTGAAAATAAGCAGCCTTTATATTGACTCATAGCATTCAGGAGAGTAATGCTTCTGTCGTCTGACTAAGAAATGTCATTTAGTGGAAGATCCAGGTTTCTGTTTACAGCTATCTTTCTGCATAAGGTGAGACATTTTGAGGTGAGTTATGTCCTTATATCAGGTAGCAGCTGGACAATGTGACATGGAGACCCCAAGACCATTTCCTCACCTTCCTGTTACTTGTGTGTAACATTTCTTTAAAACTAGCCTACACAAGGGCCAAAACCGACATGTGTGTGTTAATCAAACTGAATTAGAAAAACACAGGCTGTGAAAAAAGCAGGTACCTATTACTTGTGATTTGAGGGTGCATTTGAAGAATGGTGAGCATCTAGTGGAACTACTGTGACATGCACATCTTTAAAAAATCTCTTATTAAATAGTGTTAGTTTCTGAAGGGCTGCTCAGAGCAACTGTCTTCTATAGAGGAGGAGGAAAACCTGTCCTTTAAAACAAGGATTTACATCAATCAATGAGTAACCTTTTGGAAACTTCAAATACAATAGTAAGGGTGGGCCTTGTTTTAGGAAGATGGCAGTGTTTAACTGTTAGGCATCAAACCAGCATTTTAGCTGTTGGCTCTACCAGGGAGGAAGCAGAATGCCCACAGTGGAAACACGCTCACACGCCATGCTGCTGCGAGTGCCTGTGTAATTTGTTACCTCCATTAGAAGAGATATGCTCCTCTGGTGTTTAAGTGCCCCAAAGTTCAGCCCCAAAGTCATTTCCCCCTGGAAAGAGATTTGCCAGATGGCATGCTGAGTTCTGGCTTGTTGATCTGTTTGACACGCCTGCTTTCTGAGAACAAATCCCAGCAGTAAAGGAGAAAACCTGAAGTTCTCATGTGCTTTCCTTTTATCTCTTGCTGAGCCAGAGCTCTGCCTTGGACCTCATGAGAATTTCAGTCACCTGTGTGCAAGAGCAGCTAATCAGGATGAGTAAAAAGAGCAATATTATTTAATTAGAACAAAAATAACCCCAAGCCAAATTAAACAAACAACAGCAACAAAAGACCCCCACACACAAAGAAGCCATTGGAAAACCTACTGACTGTGGTTAGCAGTGCAGGCAAGGAGGAATCAAAAGGGAAATCAAGGCAGACAAAGAGTTAATCTTTTGAAGGAGTTTTTAAGGAGAAAAGGCCCTTCTAAGGCCATCCCTGAATCCAAAAGGACCTGTTTATTTGTATCTGTGTGGTGTGAGGAATGGAGGGACACAGCGCTGCCCAGTTTATGCATTTCCAGGTCCGTTCTGTGTGTAGACTGTGGATACAGTCCCTTCTGGCTACTGGTGGTGAATGTTCTACAGTGATCAAAATCCTAGAATCTCTCAAAATTTCTTCAGGGACATCTCAAATGTTAGGAGGACCAACAACAAACCTGTTATGAACAGCACTGCACATCTCAGCAGCATGTTTTTTTTTTTTTTGTTTCATAACATGCATACACTCTGACCCTACAATGAGACTGATCGCATCTGTAGGCTCTCCAGTGCAGCCCTGCTGCTGGCTGGTTGTGCGCAGTGGGCAGAGTACAGTTTCATAAACAGTGTTAACCAATACCAAAAGCTTATGCAAACCAAATTGCCTTTTCTGTACACATCTGCACACACAAAGATGCCTGTGTTCTGTCTGCATTTTCCAGAGCTTTTAAATAAATAAGAAAATAATAAGATTGTGATTTACAGTTTCTGTGCTAATCATTGACTTCCTGACAACTCAGTGGGAGTTGTTGATTTGAAAATACTTTAGGTTGCCAGTTTATCTTTTTGTTTGGGGTACTAATCATGTTGCAGCATCTATAAATAGTCATGATGCTTTTTCCAATAAATTGCTATTTTAGGTATCCTGATGTGGCCCTGCATTATATGACTGTATGAGATGGGAGTTAATGAAATAATCTCCTTCTTCATTGGTCCCAGCCACTGACAGGCTTTGACTGATGTTTTTGTGTTAATGTAGAAAGTAGGGGGCCTGCTTACCTGAGGAAGATTGTGTGTTCACTTGTGTGTTCCTGTGGCTGGGGTTCACAGACTGTTTTCAGGCAAATACTGATGACTGATTTTCAACGTGACCTACTATCTATAAATGTTAGACGTACTGTCACATTGAGGTCCCTCCAGCTCAGTGCCCTGCTGCCAGTGATGGCCAGTAGTGGCCATCTGAAACAGATTACAGAATCAGTGCAACTGTGGGCTGAGACCACCTCTAAGTATTTCCCTGTCTGTAGTGCAATGTGCCTCAAGGGTTTTTGTTATTGTGCTTTGTGGACCCAGATAGACTTTATCGCATGCATTTGTCCAGTTTCATTTTAGACTTAAAGTAAACTTACTATCTGTGGCATCCTTTCATTCTATGGCAAGGAGTTCCATGCATAGGGAAGAGCAGAAATGCTCTCTGGCTAAGGGTTTCCAGCTGGTTGTCTCTCTGCTTCATAGGCATCTGGGTCAGCCAGCTTTTTGATCCACCTCCCTTACTGCAGGTGCGTGTTTGTTTGGAGAGCCAGACTCCTTGTTGACAAAAGAGGGTTTCCAGCAACCTCTTTGTGCTGGGGCCAGGAGTCAGAGGTACACACTGGATTTTGCCCTGAAGCCAGCATGGTCACAGCCGTTCTGTTACATGCAATTGGCATGTTTTAATATTTTTTAATGTTTTATTGTTTTAGTATCCTAAGCTGATATTAAAACCAACACCATGTCTTTCTCTGCACTCTCCAGTTTGTTATCTGATAATAGTGCAACTGATCACCTAGAAACCTCCTTGCTTCTCTTCTGTGCCTGTGCAGTGCTATTTTCTGTCTTGAGCAAATGCTGAAATGGATCCATTTTGATGCTTTTCTGATGTTACCAGGGCATCATGACATTAACTGTTGTGTGTGGATTTAAGAAGACAGTGCAGGGGAAACTGAAAGGCAGAGTTTTATTCTTGCTTAGGCACCTTAGTGCTATCAGCAGCTGGGTTATGGGGATGTGATGGGTTGTGTAGCAAAAGCTGCATCACTGCTCATGGCCCCTCTCCCATGGCCGCGCTCGGCAGTGAAGTGGAGCATCTCCATGGCTGCGTGCTGGCCTGGATGGTCTCAGCAGGATAATGACCTTGGAATTATCTCTGCCTTCCAGAGACAGGAGTCGCCTTGCTGCTATTTAGCATCTGGGCAGGTCCTCCCAGTGCTATGCAAAGCAACAACGTGTCAGAGGTGTGATGGCCACAGAAAGGGACACATTTAAACAGAGCCAAATTCAAAAGCATAATCTGGATGGGAATTATACACATGCCATGCAGATTTAGCTGTGCTGAATATACCACCTTCCTAGGCTACTCCATTGGTTAGTAACATAATCTGTGAGAGGTTTCCTGCCGGCCTCACGGGTAGCAAACCACATATATATATTTAAGTGTGTATGTGTATAAATATGTATACATGTATATGTATGTGTATATATGTAGTGTATATGTAGGTGCTTCCAAACCCTCTTCTTTGCTCTATTGGTTGGCTTCTACTGTCAGTGAACAACTTGCTAATGCAAACACAGCCACAGGGCAAACATTTGCAAACTGAGGTTTTAAGTCTGCTGGAATGAGAGCTCGGTTAGCTTTGAAAAGAAATACTTTCTTTTGTAGATACATGCCTAAATATATCTTACACTGCATTAAGAAGATGGCAGGCTTTATGAAAGAGCTAATTGGTTAAGCTGTTCATATAAATCTGGCCAAATTTAAAATACTCCAGTCACTTTGAAGGGATAGGTGATTTATGGTGTACAGGGAAGTAACATCATTATTTCCCTATTTTCATCAATCACCATGGCAAAGGGAGCATGAGCATCTATTTTGCTTGTGGTAGCAAATATTCAGCTTTGCAAGGCTTCCCAAAAATGCAACAGAGGAAGAAGATGGTATCTCCTAGCTCACATTGTCCCTCCTGCTGTAATTACAATAATACCTCTTTTACAATAGCACTCTGAGCAGCAGCTCTCTTTCTTCTGTGACAGCATTTCAGCCACACTGAGCTAAAAAAGAAATGTATCTCTTTTAATGGGACCATAAGTAGCTTTGGATGTATAACGTTTCTATAAAACTGCTTGGCAACATGATTTATTGGAGCAGGATCAGTGGTAAAAGTGACTTCTCTGACAGTAATGGATGAAACACTTCCAGTGTAGCTACTCTGTCTCTGCTTGGTGCCTGTGCCGACAGCAGGCTGGTTTTGTCAGCTCATTCATAATCTCTGCTTTGCTCTCAGCAGAATCTGTTGCACAAGACACGTTTCAGCCATGGAGGAAGCTTTTTCCCCTAGTCCTCTGTTGGAGCTGCTGCAGAAGATAGGTCGGTGCAGAGGCTGCTTGATTCCTAAGGTGCTGTCTGTCTAATTCCACATCCAGATGCTATGCCTAGGTGAGAGTTGGGGGCATGCTGCTCCCCTACCTCTAGCTGCTGCCCATCCCCCATTTTCCATGAGGAGAAGCTTGAGTGAATGGGGTGGAAGGAGCTACTCTGTTCTTAGACTGAGAGTGAGAACTTGCTGATCAGCATCCCAAGGTCCTGGGGCAGCCTCAGAAGTATCTTCTGTGCAGTCCTGGTGGGAAAACCGCCTTGAGGAGCATGAAGTTCAGGTGCAGATTTTTCAAATATACAAGTGGAAGTGAAAAGATCTCAATCTTGGAAGATACCACTGGGATATAGGTGTTTTGGTGTCTTTGAGAATATGGGTTCTCATGTGTACAGATCAACTCACTGCCATATACCAAGCATAGGATCAAGCCAGTGCCTCCTGTTTTGCATCCCCTGCAGCCTGGCCTGCAGTGTGGATTTAAAAGTGCCATGGTCCTGTTTCCCCTCTGGGAGGCCATGAAATGATGCAGCTGGACGCTGTAAACTGTGAGGCTCTTGCTAATCCCACTTGCTGTGTGGGACCAAGAAGTAGCAAAGCAGCTCTGGAGCTATGAGGCCATCAAGAGGCAGCTGATGTGGAAAAGCAGTTCCTCAGCCATGCACTGCAACACCCTGACCTGCACTATGACTTGGATGACACTGTGATATTGGGCGTGCAGTGTCACATTGACCTGACACTGGGACTCCTTGTGGTGGGACAGCAGAGCCCATGCCTGTGATATATGGGCAGCTTCACCACCCACCCTGCCTATGCCTGGCCTTGGAAGCTAGGTGGGTTTGGGTCTAAGTGAGGTGTGTGTTACAAGAGTGTCTTCTTCTGCACATACTTTGGTTATCCCAAGAGAAAACAGAGAAGCATTGCCATGGCAACTGTTCTCCCTTTAGTAATTTTCCAGAGTTTTCCAGTCTCATTCAATCTTTTTTATATCCCTACTGTTTATTTTAAGGTCATTTCTAATAGGAGTCCAAAGAAGCAATTGAAGCATCTTCTACCATTAGACAGTAAGTTCAGTCACCTTCCCACATGACTGATGAAGTACAAGATCAACAGAATTGAATGTTGCTTTGAGTAAGAGAGGAGAGGATCTGAAATTTGAAATGCATTGTACTCAGACAAATGAAACAAATGAAACCTTTTACCCAAAGCAAAGCATTGAAATGAAAGGTAGTGTACTGCGTGACAGTTTTGGGCACACTTTCCTGCTGGCATATCTTTCTAGCTGTTTAATCACTGATTGCAGAGATTCTCAATCCTCTTTATGACTCAGCTTTGCAAGGGAACATCTTTCCAAATCAACATGTGCTGGCTCGTTGAAATCTCTTTCATGAGCTGTAGTTTTATTTAGCCAGGGTACTTTGAAGAGAATAGTTACTGCAATGGTGTTTATTTGGGGTAATGTAGAATCATGCTTCTCATTCTCCAATGCTTTGCTTCCACCTTGTGCTGGTTTTGGCTAGGGCAGAGTTAATTTTCCTCACAGTATCTAGTATGGGGCTACGTTTTGGATTTGTGCTGGAAATATTGTTGATAACACTACTGTGTTACTGCTGAGCAGTGCTCACAGAGTCAAGGCCTTTTCTGCATCTCACACCACCCCACAAGCGAGCAGGCTGGGGGTGCACAAGGAGCTGGGGGGGATACCCAGCCAGGACAGCTGACCCCAACTGACCAAGGGATATCCCATACCATATGGTGTCATGCTCAGCATCTAAAGCTGGGGAAGAAGAAGGAAGAGGTGAATGTCTGGAGTGGTGGTGTTTGTCTTCCCAGGTAACCATTACACATGATGGAGCCCTGCTGTCCTGGAGATGGCTGAACACCCGCCAGTGATGGAAAGTGGTGAATGAATTCCTTGTTTTGCTTTGCTTGTGTGTGTGGCTTTTACTTTACCTATTAAACTGTCATTATCTCAACCCACGAGTTGTCTCATTTTTGCTTTTCTGATTCTCTCCCCCCGTCACACCATCACACTGGGGCTGGGGTCACTGAGCAAGCAGCTGTGTGGTGCTTTGTTGCCAGCTGGGGTTAAACCATGACACACCTGCACACTGATACCCATGCATGGGAAACCCAGTCTGGAGGAGAGGAAAAATCCTGTGGAGTTGTAGGAGGAAGGAGGTTGAAGCCCTGGTGCTGTTTCAGGGGAAGGTGGCGTGAGGGTTGGGCAGTGGGACATGGTGTCTTTGATGCCCCATAACTCACTAACTAGCCCTTTGCCTTGGCAGGTGTTGGAAGATGAGACTGCTAAACCCCTTCCAGTAGGGCTTATGCTGTAATCAGTGCAACAC